TCAGATCGCTTCAATAGAAAAGATCCACCTGCTACAGCAAGGAAAAGATTAGAAGAAGTGCGACAAAGGGGAGAGTCTGACGATGAATTCGCAGAGCATGTCCGACGCTTAGTTTCACAAGCATTTCCCTCTGTGAACATTGAGCTCCAAGAAGAAATAGCTGCAGAATCCTTCCTGAAAGGGTACAAAAATTCTAAAATTGGGTATGAAGCCCTGAACAAAATGCCGAAAACTATATCTGAGGCATTAGATTATGTTATACAGTTACAGCACAACTTCAGGGCAACAATTGGCCGTGAAAATGTCCAATTTCAGCGACATTCAAGGAGAGTCTCTTGGCAAGAGGATTCCCATAACATTGAAAACGCAGAAGGGAATGCTTACGAAAACTTGCGATCACTCTCCTCAATGGATACAAAGGAAAAGTCATTAAAGGATGCGATTTTGGAATTAAAGGAGTTGATAGAGCGGAAAACAACAGAAATGAGATCCCGCCGGTCACCATCCCCCAAAAGAGGTTGTTTCAAGTGTGGGGAATTGAACCATTTCCAAAAGAACTGCCCAGCTTTGAATTCACCATGTCAGTCTCCTAAGAAGGATGGTCACTTTAATGAACAGGAGACTCAGCAAAAATTATTCAAGATTGGAACCAAGAGTGGGAAAACAATAAGAGTACCAGTGCAAATAAATGGGGAAGAAACTCATGCAATTATTGATACTGGGGCAGAAGTAACTGTGCTATCAGAAGACTTTGTGAGGAGTAGGAGTTTAGTGTATTCTGGCGGTAAGAAAACAACAACACTTTTAAATGCAGAAAGTGGCAACAAGATGGCAGCAGTTACTGATGTTACCGTGCGAGTTGATTTGGGGAAGTCTTCAGTTGATTGGAAAGTCTGCATTGCGCCCATACATGATGAGGTACTAATTGGAATTGACCTGCTAATGGCCCTTGATGCTATTGTTTTAACAAGACAGGGTGATCTAATGGTTGGAGGAGAGCTTGTGCTTGGAAACATAGGATTATAGGAAGCTCAACGATGTGACAAGGAAAGACTCCTTCCCACTTCCAAATATTGAGGAATGCCTGGACACTCTTGCAGGGTCAACAATTTTTTCAACTATAGACCTGCAGCAAGGATATCATCAAATTGAAGTTGACCAAGCTGATAGGAGGAAAACAGCCTTTATTACTCGCTACGGTTTATTCGAGTATACACGCATGCCTTTTGGGCTATGCGGAGCACCTGGGACATTTCAAAGGGCAATGGAGTTTATTTTATTCCAGTGGAATATGGTGTTGATTTACTTAGACGATGTGATTGTTGCCAGTCGCAGTATGCAAGAGCATATTGAACACCTTAAGGAGGTCCTCCAAAGGTTTAGAGAAAGCAACTTTAAGCTGAAGCCATCTAAATGCAATTTTTTCCAGAAAAGTGTATTGTTCTTAGGACACCGAATCAGTGCAGAAGGAATTGAGGCAAACCCAGAGCTTACCAAGGTTGTACATGACTGGCCTCAGCCTCATAATGTCAAGGACATACAATCCTTCCTAGGCCTCACTAACTATTACCGTCGGTTCATTGACAAGTATTCAGAAATAGCTGAACCACTGTTCCAGTTAACCAAAAAGGGAGTGAAATTTCATTGGGAAGCTGAACAACAAAAGGCATTTGAAGTTTTAAAAGAGAAACTAGTGTCCCCACCTGTTCTGGCTTATCCGATAGCCCAGAATACATTTATTTTAGATACCGACGCATCTAACTGTTCAATTGGAGCAGTCCTTTCACAACTACAAGGCGACTCAGAAAAGGTCATCAGTTATGCCAGCAAGCGTCTCGGTCCAACACAATCAAAGTACTGTGTTACACGCAAGGAACTTCTTGCTATTGTCACCTTTACGCAGAAGTTCAGACACTACCTTTTAGGCAGTCAGTTTATTGTGCGGAACGACCATGGCTCCCTTACTTGGTTGTATCGTTTTAAGACACCACAGGGACAACTTGCACGCTGGTTAGAACATCTCAGCCAGTTTAACATCGTTTTTCAGCACAGGAGAGGTCTGAACCACGGCAATGCTGATGCCTTATCCAGATACCCTCTAGAAGGACCACAATGTGACTGCTACACTATTGGATCAAGATTATCTGACTTGCCATGTGGCGGATGCAAACACTGCACAAAAATACATCAGGAGTGGTCTCGATTTCACACAGACGTAGATGACGTCATACCCCTAGCAGTAAGGAGTGATTTTGGCATGGTATTTGCTAAACATCAGACAAGCCATGGAGACCAATGCTGTGATGACTCTGATCCAGGGCCAAGTACTAGTTTTTGCTCTGGAGGACACAGTGTCCCCGAGCAAAGTGCGGCAATGGGTACCATCCGGAATTTAACACAGATGGATGAGGCAGTAAGTGATGAGGAAGAAATAGGTCCTCCTATATCCTTAAGCAAATACACAAATGAAGAATTGAGTCAGAAACAAAAGGACGACCCAGAGCTACATAAGCTTTTTAAGTGGGTGGAAGGGAAGTTTCCAAGTAATCGAGAGGAAGTATTTTCTGAGTCACCAGCCCTTAAACACTTTTGGGGTACAAGAGAAAATCTCTCACTAAGCAATAACTGCCTTTATTACCGATGGACGTTTCCAGAGGAGACCCGACTATTATTCATCGTGCCTGAGGCAATGAAGAAGGAAATTATAGACATCGCCCACTGTTCACCATTATCGGGACACCCTGGAATTAAAAGAACTATTCAGCGCCTTCGACAGACCTTCTACTGGTTTAATATGACGGATTGGGGTGAAAACTTTTGTTGGAGCTTGCGAAAAATGTGCGCTTAGTAAAAAGGCTAACAAGACAAATAGATCCTCATTGCAGCAGTACCAAGCTGGATCACCCATGGACAGAATACAGCTGGATATACTAGGACCCTTTCCTTTATCTAAAAAGGGAAATAAATATATCCTTGTTCTTGTCGACCAGTTTTCGAAATGGACGGAGTGTTATCCACTTGCCAACCAGACAGCGGAGACTATTGCCAATGTACTAGTGAAGGACTTTATTGCCCGCTTCGGGGTGCCTCTAGAACTTCACACGGACCAAGGGCGGAACTTCGATAGTGACCTGATGAAAAGACTATCAGAGTTGATGGGCTGGGCAAAAACAAGAACAACCCCCTACCACCCTTCTTCAAACGGACTCGTAGAGAGATTTAACAGGACCTTACTTCAGATGATGCGATGCTTTGTCAGCCAGAATCAGGAAGACTGGGACGAACACCTTCCCTTGCTTGCGGGGGCATATCGAAGTACTCCTCATACCAGTACTGGCTTCACACCCAATAGACTGATGTTGGGTCATGAAGTCCATCTTCCTCAAGAGGTGATATTAGGCTTACACTCAGCAGAGCAGGATGAAATACCATACCTGGAGAAACTACGATCCTCAATGAGGAAATGTCAAGAAATAGCTCGAGGAAACTTGAAGAGTGCATCGATAGGACAAAAACGATTACACGATTTGCGTCTGTACGAGAGGTCCTACAACATTGGTGAATTAGTATACATACGGGATGACTCAAAGAAAGTAGGCAAGAGTCCTAAACTACAACCTTTATGGAAAGGGCCTGCAGTAGTTGCTAGAAAGTTGGGTGCAGTGCTGTATGAAGTTATCACAAGGAAGGGATCCACAGTACTGCATCATGACCGCCTCAAGCCTTGCCACCAAGAAACACTGCCCAGATGGATATCGAAAGCATGAAGACAGCTCCAGTATTGTGTCAACTTTAAGGAAAAGGACCCTCAAGCAACCTCACCAGAAGATGCTGATGTTCCAGGCGAGACAGAAGACAAGTCAGAGGAAACTGCAGTAGAAGAGAACTGGGTGGTACCTGATATACCCATACAACATGAAGCTGAAAAGGAAACAGTTTCTTCAGGACCGGCTACACCGGAGAACCAGGATAGCGATGCTGAAGACCAACAGAGGACCAACGAGACCACTACTAGATGTGGAAGAAAGATTCAACCTCCTTCAAGATACACGTCCTAAAACAACTTTAAATATCAGGACAATTAACTAATGTTTATTTTCTTTGCTTTCATTTCATGTATTATTCCTTTTAGAAAAAGGGGAGTAGTGTAGTGAATTTGTATTAATGTCGGGCTCGGCGTCGGGTTCGGAGTGCATATGTTTTGTATACGTCATGAGTCAGTTCTAATAAAAGTTTCTGAAGTATCGGACGTCTGTTTGATTCCTTGGCAGCTCGGAACTCGTGGTGCACTTAGGACCCACACCAGAAGCACCACAGTATATTATATAGAAAACAATAGCTTCAAATCTGTGTCCAAGTACCTTTAGGGTGCCAAAGTTTGACATTTTACAATATTTCCTCAATTCTGATGAAATTTCATCAAATTTGAGAAACATTTTGCTATTGGAGACAAGAGGACAAACTGGTCTATATGAGATTTTTATGTAAAAGATGCATATTACTAGTATACTAGCGCATAAAATAAATAAATTTGGTAGATAAGCAAGCTTGTGTTCAAAAATTCGGAAAATGACAAAGTTTCTGAACTTTCTGCGAAACTTGTATATCACAAAACTTGGCATCTGTACTCATCTTGAAATACGGATGAACACAGGAACTTTTGCATCGCTCTCAAAGATACCAGAAACCGGGGTCAAAAGAAGGTCTTACCTTTCCATGGCCTTTAAGATATATACATTTATCATCATTTTAATTGAATGATTTAATCCGACATTTTTCCATTGGCCGAAACCGATCAAAAAAGTTCAAGGGCCTATAGATTCTATTTTTCAATAGTACTTTTACGCATAATTTCGGTTTGTTATCTTCACATTTTATAATGGCAGTTATAGAGGCTAAATCAAGATAATGATCGTTATTAGGACAATAAATCGTTTCCTTTGCTTGCAAAGATTAGCAAGTCACAAGTTCACTGTGTCCACAATTTTTGCAAATAAAATATAGATTGATACAAAGAATGTTTTTCTCGAAACTCCTCATCTTCATTAATCTGGATATTTTCTTTATTGGTGAGTAGTAATATTGCATTTTAACCGTGTTGTACATAATCTCTCTAATTCTAAGTAATTTTCAAGAAAACTGAGTGTTTCCAAGACGAGATATTTCTACAGCAACTAATAATTGTTCAATGCTAGTTTTAAATCAATGTCTTTATCTCGACAGCAGCCATTCTAGGGTAAGGATTTTGCCAATGACAACGAAAACAAAATATTATTTCCAAAAATGTCATTTATTAAAACTGACGATTAAAATCCATTCGAAGTTAAACAAAGGAAAAGTAAAGAAACCAATCAATTCTCCAATAATCATTAAAGTTGATCCTGAGCCATTAGATCACATATTTATTTTAATTTACTTAAAAGTTGTCACTGGATCCCCGTCTTGTCCCCATGGTTGGTATCAACATGGATCCTCGTGCTATGTATTCATTGATGGCGTCCTAAACAGCTGGACTGAAGCCATGGTTTGTAATTATTCACGCTGTTTCATCATCTTTTTTTAATTTCGAAGAGGAAAATTCTTTAATTTTTACATTGGTGCATATATGTACCTGGTATTAAAATTAAATTGAAGGAGACGGGGGGAAAAGATGCGTAATGTCTATATCTTCAAATTAAATGTATAAGCATCATATTCAGTTCGTGAAATATCTGGTGATAACGAGCAGTATTCAAGCTCAAAAGTCCATTAAACAAAACAGGAGCAGAGCAAACACGGACCTTCAAAACATCAGAGGTAGCATCAGGTGCTATTGAGAAACATGACATTAACCTCTCCTCATTGAAATCAAAATAACATTATCTCTGCAGAAAGAAATCTTATTATACCCCCGCTCCGAAGGAGAGGGGGTATACTGTTTTACCCTTGTGTGTCTGTCTGTGTGTCCGTGTGTCTGTCCGTAACAAATTTTCGTCGCAGTTTTCTCAGCAACTACTAACTGCAGATGCTTGAAATTTTAACACAATCTTCTCAGAGGCATGCTATACGGTGGAATACATTTTTGTCTAAATCCGATGTCAAATTCCTGTTTGCCTGTGTGTCTGTCCGTTTCATAAATAACAAATTTTCGTCACAGTTTTCTCAGCAACTACTCATCACAGATGCTTGAAATTTTAACATAATCTACTCAGATGCATGCCATACGTTGGGATACATTTGTGTTTAAATCCGGGGTCAACTTCCTGTTTGTCTGTGCATCTGTTCGTTTCATACATAACAAATTTTCGTCACAGTTTTCTCAGCAACTACTCATCGAATTGCTTGAATTTTTACATAATCTTTTCTGAGGCATGCCATATGGTGGGAATCATTTTTGTTCAAATCCGATGTCAAATTCCTGTTTGTCTGTGCGTCTGTCCGTTTCATACATAACAAATTTTCGTCGCAGTTTTCTCATTAACTATACATAGCATATGCTTAATTTTAGTACACTCTTTGTTGAGCCATGCCATATGGTGGGATTAATTTTGATATGAATCTCATGTCAACTTCAAATTTTTCTGTGCATCTGCCTGTAATTGAACTTGTGCATATTAATATGATAGTGTTCATTTACATCAGAGCGAGGGTATTACTAGTGAGCATTGGCTCACAGATTTCTTAATTGTTCTTGATGCGATATTCTTGGGGAGTTGAAACCAAAAAAACACACGGAAAAAGACATGAATTTATATTTTTACTCTGATACTTACAAGCTAACCGCTGATAATGAAAATTTCAAAACATGCTTGTGATTTGACTTTGACTAAAATGATTTCAATAAAATCTCAGAAAAATACGAATGTTGTGTCATAAAAGTAAATTTTAAGGAATTGTTTATCTTTATTCTAGGGTTTTAACAACAAAAAATGTGTATTTTTACGCAAACTTTAAGAATAATATTTCAATAAATGGAATGATGAACCACTCAAGGTGTATACTGTAATTGTGCAATATTGTGAAGATTTTACCCTCTTTGATGTATGTATGCTATTTCATAGATACTTTATTTCAAGCTTTCAAAGTTTGTGTGATTTATTTTAAATAAACTACACGTTAAGGTATAATGAAATATTAAAAAAAATGTTATAATCGATTTTTTTTAAATTGCCATAATAGGTATAATGTGCATTTTGCTTGCCTTGTTTGCCCATCTTCTTTGTATGCATGCATAAAGTGCAGTCAACAAAGACACTACCATAAATACATTTTCTAAAACTGCACTGTAAATAAAATTCTGAATTTGCAACATTATTAGTATTCACTGGATGTACCTCACATCGGCTCCATGCTTTTTGTCTTGCTGAAATTTGGAATGAACAAATCTTCCTGAGATATTTAATTTTGAAACTATTGATAGAAAACAGACGTTTATTCTCAATACAAGCGACTATACATAGCTTTGATAGGTAATCATTAGATTAATTTACATTTCAGTCGTTTTGTAAGGGACTCTCTGCTAAACTGGTGGAAATAGAGACGCGGGATGAAAATGATTTCCTGCAGCAGCATCTACAAAACATGGTACATAGTCGTGAGTATTTTCAACAAAAAATACAATATTTTTTGTCATCTAAAGGTAAAATATTTTATATTTGTATATAATTTAATTCTGTTTGTATTCTTGTCTCTCATTGGTTGATTTCCAAAAAGGAACGCATAACATTTTGTATAATCTGGTTTGGTATGGGGACACACCCCCTTGACAACCAGCTGAATCATCTGTATCCATCAATCCCCTCATTTCCAGTCCTTCGGATTCATGAAAAATTCCAGATTTAATGAATGTACCTTTAACTTCAAACAGTTGCTCGATCTTACCTCATGTAAACAAGCATCATGGCTGCTAGATCTATGTATCAGTTTTTACCTCTCCTTGCTTCCCATCACTTCCGTTACTACGGTTGTATTACTGCGCGGTAAATTTGAACTAATAAAAACAACACAATTTTACATCCCCAGTTGTTTAATTATTTTAAAATTAAATTATAAGGAATGACTCTAATTCTTGGCCAGATTATCGAGTATAATATGGTTTGCGGATTATAAAAAAGCGTAAACTGACCCAAACCATATTATACTCGATAATCTGGCCAAGAATTAGAGTCATTCCTTAAATATATTCAAAATCTAATTTGACCAGTTAGTCACATGTAAATGTGTGTGTCTTAACAAATTTTAACATTATCAAATCCTTAATATTTTCTTTAAAATATTTGTTTATCAATTCGTTCATGTAATATGTAAAAAAAATCAAATTCAGTCTTTTATAACTTAAACAAAAAATGTTTTATTCATAAAGTGGTGTCCTGAAATTGTATATTAAAATTCAGACTAGATACTTCGTTCACACACTGCAATGTCAAGTCGTACCGGAGGTTAATGAAATTAGAAGTGAAACTGCAAGGGAAATTTCAAGCTTCACGTTTTAACCTTCTCTGCAGATAACTACTGGATTGGTTTAACAGACGCGATTGTTGAAAATGAATGGTTATGGATGTCTACTCAGAAAGAAGCTCAATTCACTAACTGGGGTCTCTTCCAGCCTGATAATGCCCAAAACATGGAGGACTGTGCTGACATTGCGTCTTTCTTTCCACACGGCGTCTGGAATGATGAAGATTGTGACGCCAAGCTTCATTTCATTTGTGAAAAAGAGTATTCATTTTTTTTAACTTCGTAGTTATTTCTCTCTTATACAGGTTGTAAACATCCCTTCTTATTTTTATTAGGATATTTTTATTATTAACATATTAAACAAAATTTGTTTTGTTCCAGTCGTTTTTCGAGTTCTTGCTAGTACTCTGTATTTATCTCAATGGATAGTTTTCAAATGACGTCATGCATAAAACCATTATGATATTATTCCAGACGTTTATTTTATCTTTGAAAAGGTTTATGTATATTTGTTTATCAATAATACATAAAGAAGTCAAAAATATACGGCAAAATTTACACAAAATTTGAAGATGTCAGTATTTAGTAGTTTTTTTTTTTTATTTTCAGCTTGACAAGTACAACGCCTCTTCCAGTTGGTAATCTTGTTGGTTAATAAAATTTTTAAATCGTTGATTGGATTTATTGCTCGTTAGAACCATTCTAATTACAAGAATGCACAGTTTAACAATACTGAAATCAATCTGAATTTTATTAGTATATCGTTTCTAAATTTCAAGACAATTTACTGGAGGTGAGCTTATCTTTCAAATTAAAATAAATTTTGAAATAGTTATAATAATCAGCCAAAATTTCTATCGTATATTTGAATATCAAAATTAATACAAATATATCGATTGATTGATTGATTATTGTTGTTTAACGCCGAGTCGGCAATATTTCAGCCATATTTCGGCATACAAATGCGCCGAAAAGGCATTCATAATGTTAATAATAAACATTGTTTCAAAATTAAAATTACTTCTGGAGGGGGTTTGTGTCCTGCACTAGAAAATAAGAATAGAAATTTGGATTCTAAAACACTGTTTTAACAGACATAGGCCAGGAAGAAGAATAAACAATTCATGAGGTAAGTTGGAAAAATAGACTAGAAATGTTTAGAGGTAATTCAAAATTCAATGAATATTAAAAATAAAAGTAATAATGTGAATAATGTGATTGGAAGGACGTTTTCAATAAATATGTTTAAAAAATCTAATCACTAGAGTTCTTTAACCTTGAGTTGACATCCTGTGACAACCTACATGATAATCTCTTTAATAATCACAGATAATAATCCTCTACATCTTCATCAAGTCTAAGCTTGATGCAACAAGCCAAAGATGGAATGTTTGTTTAGCTTACTATGTAACTTTCAAATTTCAAAAAAGGAAACTGACACTGATGGTTTATCAAGGAAACCACTGGTTTTTTAAGACACAATGTTGGGTATATATATAGTGTTGCCACGGCACAAATACGATGCTGCCAGAGTGTTTCAAATTTCAAAAAAGGAAATTGTCCATCAGGCTCCAAGACCATAAACTGAGACCGGACTAGTCAACATTTCAAATCGATATAACTTTGTAAATAACTTTGATACGAAAAAAATTTCATCTTATGTTTGAATTGAAGTGTTTCGCACAATTGCAAAATTTTAAGGTTATACATTGAATGAAATTAAAGATATTAAAAATCAAAATTTTGACTTAAGTTTGTTCTCAGTTTACGGTCTTGGGGCAAGAACGTCGTGGACGAAATTTTTCGAAGTGACACACTCAGCAGTGAAGATTTGATAAAAGATCAGGGTTATTAAGAGATGAGACCATTGGATCCTGGAAAACGAATGATGATCGAAGAAAGAATCTCGTGAGATTCTATGAACAATTTCTAAAGACTCTTTTAAAGTCATCATTTTGAAAGTTCTATGTCCGATACAATGACGTCATCAGATACAATTTTTTATTCAGTCAAATGCTAACTGACGTGTTTCATACTAATTGTTAAGCCATTCTTTGCTCACTGAATTGCCGAAGGATCTTCCCATTATGGTCGATCATGCAAAGGACCACACACGGGAGTGACCGGTCGGCAGAGGATGCTCTCTCCTCCTTGGCACCTGACCCCATCTCTCATGTTTTAGAGGTCCGTGCTTGCTTTGCTCCAAAATGTGTATAGTTTAAAGGACATTTTAGCTTGAATACTGTTCGTTATCTCCATATATTTCATACAAAACTGATGCGTAAAGTATGTAATTTAACCTTACGAGCCTTAGTATTCTTATCAGAAAAGATATTCAGGACAATGGACAAAGCCATCAAATTGTACGCTTTATTTGCCTGTAAGGTAGTTTTGTTTAATTTGTTTTAATTCACTCAATTCATCTCGATATTCCACTTTCTCTTTGGGATATAAATATCAATAGTCAATTTATCATTTAAGCAAATTAACCCGTTAGAAAATTATTACGTGGGAATGTACGTAAATAATGACGATAACGATGAATAGTGATCAATCAAAAAAAAAAAAACTATGGAAGTAATACAAGTATGTAAAGAAGTCATCTTTCCCCTTACAGATACTTTTGGACAGGACCTCCCCCCTCCGAATTTCAACCCCATTTGTTTTTAAATAAATTATTTTTATTACATTTATTCATCATGTAAACCATTGGAAAAAAGTAAAAAACCCAGAATAATCATTCCAGAAAGATACGGTATTTTTCTGGAATGAGGAAAAGGTACAAATAATCCACTCTGGCTTGTTTACGTTCCAACCTAACTGGTCTTTCTGGGTTTTATGTTTTTTATCCAAACTTGAAAAAACACCTTTTCACAAGAAAGAAACAAGTCCAGGAAATCATTTGATCTCTCATTTTCCAGTATAATAAGGCTCATACCCAAAACTGCGTTCTAATAACAATCAGAAATTTGATAAAAAATGTTACGGACATATATTTTAATCAAAAGAGATTTATAAACTAAATTAGGAAGACTAAATCATTGAAAAGCGTCTTTTGCTTCTTTCTGAGCACCGAGGACATTATACAAATACAAATACAACTAGAGCAAAGCTCGTTGCAAAGCAACGAGTGGGTCTTCCTTCCTAGCGATAAGCAAAAGATTAAATGTTTCTGTCTAGATTGTCAACTAGATTGTTGACAATCTAGACAGAAACATTTAATCTTTTGCTTATCGCTAGGAAGGAAGACCCACTCGTTGCTTTGCAACGAGCTTTGCTCTAGTCTTATTATTCTAACATTCTCTTTTTCGATTTGTCTCAAAAACCCTTACTTGAATTCTTTAATTTGGTGTGAGCATGAGGTCTAAAGGGTACTCTCTCTAACAGCATTCTTGAAATCGTATCCACAACAGTTTAACTTCCAATATTATGACTTTTGATATCGGATATATCATGTTTGTTGCAATTATGTTTGTGAAATGTGTCATACTACAGAAACATAAGTGTTTTGCTACATTACCATCTTAAAAAAGGCTTTAAAATCATTTAATATACAGTATAACTAGGTAAATAAAATAAACAAATTATATAATAATTCAAAAAATCCAAATGCATTTACAATATTGATGAACAATCTTCATTAGTTGCAATCAGTAAGTAGAACAATACTTTTATAATAAACGCACAGAAATGTGTTGTGTATGTTTCGAATTTGAAGCTTTCCACCAGCAACTGGTGGTACCTCAATAGGAGTGTAAAATTCTCTGAAAGGTATATTGTGAACATATTACATATGGCTGTGTATTCTTTTTTAGCGGCTTTGGCGGAATGCAGCAATCACTAAATCAAGTACAAAGCTAAAAGTCTTGTACATAAACATAAATAAGAATATCTACGCTAACTTATTCAAAAGTCAATTTCCGCCAAATATTGTACAAGCTAAATATAATACATTTACAGCATTAAAGAAACAAATCTCTCTGAAGGTATTGCCCTGCATAAGAACAATTTGAATCCCCTACACTAAGGATGCTCTGTGCCAAGTTTCACTTTGGTTCTGGAAAATGATATTGTGAAATTTTAGACAATGATGATAATGGATAAAATTATGTTTTTAAAAAATTTACTGGTTCCTTTAGCTCAGATGGGCTAATAAGTATGCAACAGGCACAGTTTTGGAGTTGACATTGAAATGCGACTGGACATCTCTTCAATCTTGTTTTAGAAAACTACATGTACATGCCCTATGTACTGAATTCCTTGGAATCATACACATGTTTATGCCTTTAATTAGTTGTATGTGCCAAAATAACAATTTTTTTTTTACATTAGTAACATTATACTGTAAAAAATACACATACATGTATTACAAGATCTTATATTCCTGCTGAAGACAGAGGATCTTTCTTAATCATTAGAATAAGTAAGTCTAAACTTTGAAAGGGAAGACCTTAATAAAGAGGTAAACATGCTACACAAACAAAATATTATTATATTTAAAAATAACATTTATTCCAATGTAATTACTGGTACATGTATTTCTGTTACAAAAACTATTTCACTTGAAAAACTGAGAGCAATTGATATGTTCATATTTGTGGATTTATGCTGTCAAATCAAAATTTAAAAATGATACAGTGTGTTTAAAAATTGTCTTCACAAACCAAAACTTGACTTATTTTCACTATGCTGTTTATTCCATGTCGCATCCAAACAGATGATCTTCTGGCAAATCATGGTCATGCTTGGTATCAAAATTCAGTATTCAGATGAGTCACACCTATCCAAAAGAAATTGAAATTTTTTAATTTATAATTCTTTTACTAATAAAAAGTACAATTCATGAGATTATAAATTAGATTATCAAATTGAGAGATAAGATATTGTCACATTTTCTGTGTATAATTTGTAAATTTTAATGTACTCTTTCATCAATTAAAAGAAGTTTACACCAATTAAGGCAGTCATTTATGCTATCCCCTAATAAGACAACATACAAGTGCAAAGTAATCATGCACTTGTGGGTTTAGGATAATGTGCTAGAGTATTTATGACAACATACTAGCACGAGGTGACAATGTGCTAGCATGTACGTCAGTGATAATATGCTAGCACACTGAATCCAACATGCAGTGAAGCTAATACTCAACAGATTGTTTAGAGTTGTGTTTGCATGATATTTTGTTTTCTGTAAACACAGCAGCGTGTTGTTTAAAGCTGCATTGGAGTGGCAGTCTGTTGAAATTAACATGCTAACACACTGCAACTTCACATCATTGGAACACCATAATTTTAAAACTCGCAAACCAATATCTTATGATTACTAACTAGGTAATTGCAACTGTAAATGATGATTTCATTTTGACAATTATACCGGTAATTCACTGTATATCTGAGAACTGATCAATTATAATAAGGCGTGTCCAGATAGGGCCACTTGCTAAAGCTCAATAGCACTTTCATAAAAGCGTGCCATCTTAACGACACAAAAGACGCCATTAAGCTATCACACAGCTCGCCATCACAACAGTGAAAAACACTTTCGCACTAACACAAGTTCGCACCACACGCTGTCACACTAACACACAACACACTGTCACGCTAATACAATTTCACACAACAAAATATCAGGCTAACACAAGTTCACACAACACA